CGAACTTCACTCAGCTCGCCCTTTAAAAAGGGAAGTATATTTTACAATTTGATTTCAACCCCTTTTAACACGGAGGACAACAATTACGAGCTTTATTCAGCTCGGGCCCTTATAGTACGGGGCGCTTTTATATCAATCCCTTATAATACGGGGATGGTAATTACGAGTTTCATTCAACTCGCCCTTTAAAAAGGAAAGTATATTTTACGAGCTTCACTCAGCTCGCCCTTTAAAAAGGGAAGTATATTTTACAAGTTGATTTCGACCCCTTTTAATACGGAGGACAACAATTACGAGCTTCATTCAGTTCGAGCCATGAACTTATCCTTTTAATATGGGAGGTTCATCCTCGTGAGTAACTGATCGTGAGCTCGTATCTTTAATAAGAGAGGTTAACTTTCTGCCCCCATTCCCAAGCTTGCCTCTCGCATACATCGGAGGGTCCCTAGGTGAACTACATCATTATGTAGGTGAACAATATTTTGTAGACAATTGGAAGCACATAAAAAATTGTTTCTCTTTAAATCATGTGAGGAAGTGTACACATATATTTTGATATACGCGTAATGCATGAAACTTACCCGGTTAACAGCAATGATGAAACAACTGCTAGCGGTCTGGCGGGACTTTCTAGCAATTTTACCGGATTGAGCAACTGTACCCTTACTTTTGGCCATGCAATCCATGAACTGTTCTCTTTCTTTTAGAGAAAGCCAGATTGTAAAGGGACTGAATTGCTTTTAAGTTTTGTCGTAGATTTTCCTTGTACGAATCGTTGGGACTAATATACGTTCCCACAGACGGTAGATTTTCCTTGTACGAACCATAATTTGTTGGGACTAATATACGTTCCCACAGACGGCGCCAACTGTTGATGCCAAAAATCTACACACTCCGGAGTCTGTGACAATTCCTGCAACACAAGAGAAGTGATGACCGGCGTGGTGCCGGTCGGGTGTACTCCGACGGTCAAGTTAGTACTCGACGATTAAATATCCGATAAGGATTCAATATGAAATTTATGACGTACCTTTTTAGGTTGACTGATCCTTTCTTTTATAAAAGCATTAATGGTAGTAGTTTTTCAAGCGAGATTCTCCCTGATCCAAGATGATATCGTTCCCTTCTTACAGGAACGGTAACTTTGGTTACATATGGTATTATGATTCCATGGAGATTTTGGGTAAGATATATCCCTTACCCTTATCTTATTTCTCTTTTGACTTTGAGCTGCCTATTATTTTAATCCTTATCACTATGCATGATAGAACGTTGATTTTCTTATTTCAAATGAGTGCTACTTTTTTTGTTTGGAAAATTTTGTGTATGTGGAAGGGGTGATTATAGGTGTAAAATGTGTCATATAAGGCCAAATATTAATGGAACCCCTTAGGAATTAGTGGGGATAGGAGAAGAGGATTCCAATATAAGATCATAGGGTGGGATACTTAGTGTTATTGAATTTTGTATGAGTTCATATTAAAAATAAAAAATAAAAAAATCACTTTAGGCAAAAGAAAAAAAAAGGGAAAAAAAAATCACCATTGAATTGTTGCAGGGACGAACCTAGTAAAGGGATCAACGGGAGCATCCCCCACTGAGTTTCAAAATTTCCTATATTTATAGTAATATAGTAGCTTATCTATATCTATACTCCAAATGGAGAAGATGATTGAGAATAACATTTTATAAGAATGAGTTCACATATAATAGGTTGCATGGGTATTTTAGACACTAAAAAGGATAATTTGGTTTTTTAATTTCTCACATGGATCAATTTATAGTGTTGTAAAGTGTTTTAATGGTAAACTACAGATGGGTGAGTTTGATTTATTTTGGAATAGCTGAGGTAGGTTATGTGATGATTTAGGTATGTTTGCTATGCCGTTTTGTTTAGGTGTTTTTTATTTATTCAAATACTGTAATTGTGTGTAGTGGAAAAAAACACGTCTCGTAAAAAAAGAAAAAATTTTTACAGTACCAAAACGTTTTGTAAATAGTAGTCAAAAGTCAAAACACAAATTTAATTTGTTTTTTACATGTTATCGTAATGTAGCCATGAATAGTCCCCAAAAATGAAGAACTCTTAAATGACATTTTTAAACTTCCCATTATATTTTTTTAACTTGCAGTATTTTTTTTTATCAAATATGTTTTTATGTTTTTCTTTTCTAAAATTTTGTAACAAATAAATATTACTAAACATGCTTTTGATTACTATTTAAATTTCATACACAAAAGTATTTGTTTTGTTTCAAGTCAAGTGTAGTTGACTAACTTGACTTGAACTTTTACAAGTTCACATGTGTGGAACGTAACACTAGGCTCCGTTTGTTTGCATGCAAAACAATTTTTTTTCCAGGTGTAATATAATTATGGAGAAAAAAAATAATATTAGTAAAACATAACAAACACAACTTACCCATCAATTTTCGGTAAGGTATTTTACGCTCTATTCTCGATAGACTCGATCTCAACCTAGACATTTGCCAAATATCAAAAAATAAAAAATTTTAGAAATATTTTACGTATCAATTTTCGGTAAGTTATTGCTAAATGAATTCGACCTCAATCTCTACCTATACATTTGCCAAATACCAAAATTTTAAAAAATATTTTACCTGAAAAATGAAGAAAAAAAAATCGAAAATCGTTGAAACAATTGGAGTTTAAAACAAAGACGCAAGAACAAAACTGGTACTAGTTTGGGTGTTATATGACAAAAATCGATAGTTCAAGGTCTTAATTAGGCAGGCCGAAACTCAATTTATAGCATAAACAGAACGTAGCATAGGCCCAAGTTATTTGTGTCTGAACTGGGCCGGTTATTTCAGAGCTTGGGCAGAGATTGTTGTTTGTTCACCCCAATGTGTACACACACACACACACACACACACACACACTAGTAAAGACGCATGGGTTCTGCCAATGCTACAAATTAATTGAAGCTGGTTGTGAGAGAAGGTGCGGACGAAAGGAAGACCTAACCCTAAATTTCATATCAATTAAAATTAAATAGATAATTATTTAATTAAAATTCAATCAATATGTTTTAAATTATTAAATAAATTTATTAATTAAATTAAATAAGTAATTATTTAATGAAAATTCAATCAAAATGTTTCAAATTATTTATAATAAAATAATTTACCAAATAATAAAATAAGTTACCAATTAAAATAAATCCTATTATGCTTGGAATTCTTTAATATTTACTTATTAATATAAAAAATTTAATTAATTAATATAAAATGAATAACAATAAAATAGTTCTATAAATAAAATGAATTAAAATAAAAGAGATTCTATAAACAAAATGAATTAAAATAAAAGAGTTTCTATAAAACTATTAAAACAACTAAAACAAGTTACGATGTTTCAAATTATTTATAAATAAAATAATAAAATAATTTACCAAATAATAAAATAAGTTATCAATTAAAATAAATTCTATAAGTTACCATTTAAAATAAATCCTATTATATTTGGAATTCTTCATTATTTATTTATTAATATAAAAATATTTATTAATATAAAATGAATAAAAATAGCATAGTTTTTATAAATAAAATGAATTAAAATAAAAAAAGATTCTATAAATAAAATGAATTAAAATAAAAGAGTTTCTACAAAACTATTAAAACAACTAAAACAAGTTAAGATGTTTCAAATCATTTATAGATAAAATAATAAAAAATATTACCAAATAATAAAATAAGTTACCAATTAAAATAAATCCCATAAGTTGCTAATTAAAATAAATCATATAATGCTTGAAATTCTTGACTATTAATTTATTAATATAAAAAAATATTAATTAATTAATATAAAATGAATAAAAATAAAAGAGTTTCTATAAATAAAATGAATTAAAATAAAAGACTTTTTATAAAACTATTAAAACAATTAAAACAAGTTGCATATTAAATTAAAATAGGTAATTATTTAATAAAATAATTTACCAAATTATTAATTAAAATTAAATAGGTAATTATTTAATTGAAATTCAAGTAAGATGTTTCCCATCATCATTTATAAATAAAATAATAAAATAAATTATTAATTAAAATAAATCCTATGCTCGAAATTCTTTTAAAGTTAAAACAAATTTATTTTGATTTTGATTGATCTGGTTCAAAATTCTTTATTTTATTACTCACTTAATATATACCCCACACACACTACAGACGGCTGCTAAAGCTACAAATTAATTGAAGTTTAGAGAGGTTGTTTGTTCACCTCAATATATATACACACACAGGTGAGAAACGTTTGATATTCGTTCAATATGTTGAATTTGTATATTGCGATCGCCTTGTGTTACTGGACTTTTATTATTTTCCGAATCTTGATTTGATTGATCATCTAAGCTTGTCGATTGTCTTTTTTCTTGTTTCATTATTTTCGTTCTCTTATAGTAGTTGACGTACTGATTTGGGAAAAAGAGAGAGGGTATAATTTGGTTTTTATTTTCCCTTTGAGCTTTTCGTCTCTTCAATCTGAATCATGTCTCTAAAATGTTTCACAGGATTGAAACTGTGTCTCGAATCTTGAAATTAGAGGGAAAATAGTTTATAGTTTGATTGATATTGTCTTCAATTTCAATTCCAATTTCAAGACGTTGAAATTAGATGCCCATTCTTTCAAGTTCTCTATTGGTGTCACCACATGCCGAGAAAAGAAAGAAAAAGAAAAAGAAATATTAAATTGTTTCTTGTAGTCACTTAAAAATGATCCAATGTATAAACAAATGTTTACCACCTTAAACCTGTGGATTATTTAAGTAGAAAATATGTAAAATTGTTTCATGTAGTTTCACTTTAAAATGATCTAATTTACAAATGTATTTTCATGGTTTCGTATGAAAATTTAACTGTATGTGACAATTGTGTGCTGTGGTACTTTATATGAGATAGGTCCAACTATGGAAATGCTCAGAGAGTACGATATCATCAAGTTCTCCCCTGTGGAGTTAGATGATTTGACCAGTAATTTTAGCCAAGCAAATCTGATTGGAGAAGCCCAATTCGGCAAAGTGTACTGAGGAAAGACTCAGAAAGGTCAGGATGTGACTGTGAAGATTTGGGAAGATTTAGGAAAATTTGCTGTAGGCCGGGATGAACACCGTTCCCAATTGGTGGTAGTAACAGTATTTCATTAGTTTAGTATCTGAAATTTCAATTTTGAAATTTGATGGTTATAGATGTTGTTCCTGTCATTGTTGAATGTTGTGTTTCAATTTTCCCAGAAAGAATGCATTTTTCTAATGGAGTCAAGTGTAAATCATCATCCGAGTCTGGTCAAACTTTTGGGATATTGCTGCGAAGATAGTCTGTTGGGGGTTGTTTATGACCTTAAACCAGTGGATACAGTGCACAACCTCATTGATAATGGTATTACATATTTTCTTTCTTCGATTAATCTGTTACAACTTGACTTTTCTAATCATACATCAATCTGTTGAGCATGCACGTCATGTTTTCAGTATATGTTGGGAGAGAGGGAAAATGAATCTTACAAAGTGACAACTATAATTACAAGACCAACTGATTTTCCATATTAGTGTTCAGTGATAACATTTACTACTTTGGCTTGCTATACTGAATCTTAAATCTGCTCCTAAACTGATTATTTTAGTAAATCATTGTTTAGTTTGTTGGATAATCTCTCTCTCCATCTCTATCTCTATCTCTCTCTGTGTGTGTACTTTATTTTCTTCTTTGCCTAAGAAAATATATTTCTTTGAGTAATTAAAATTTTGTCTTGTTTGGACGTACCACATTTAGTAGAGTGTAGCTGCCATCACATGCAGGGATATGGTTGGTACTTAAGATAAACTTCTTTAAAATAGATTAGTATTCTATTTACTAAAAGAGTTTTGTTTACGTAGATGGCTTTTCCTGGCTCCACAGAATCAAGGTGGCAATTGATATTGCACATCTGCTCGAGTTTTTGCATTATCATCATAAACCGCAATACCTAGTTCGCAATATTAGTTCTGCACATATAATGGTTGATCAGGTCAGATCTGGTGTCCATGTACTTAGTGCACTTAGCTTTTCAGTAATTTTGTTCTGAAGAATTTTTTAATAAGAATTAAACATGGTATTATGTTATGCTTAAACTCAGGATTATAATCCAGTACTATTCGATTTTTGTATGCTAGTTGGTGGGGTTTTTGGTGATGAGCAACCAATCGCACATAAGTTTGTACTTGGAGCGCCAGGCTATATTGATCCGATGATTATAAATTTCGGTATGTCAACATAATATTGTATTTATAATCTTTTCCAAGCCTAGAGTTCATTACCTATGTCATCAGTGCATTTCTTAATTGCCAGTGCTTTTTTTCTTTTCTTTTTCCATCTATTATACAATGGTAAATAAATTGTGGGCAAACGAGGAATGTCAAGTGAAAATATCAACCCAAAAAGGTGAGTAAATCATTATGATTACTCATAAAAGCGTCCTTGACCTCTTTTTTTTTTTGGGAATCCATGGTGCTTATTGTGGGAGGAAACTTGTGTTCAAAAAACTCTAATCCTAATATCATACTATTGTTATGTGGTTCGCTTTATGAATATGACATAGTATCAAAATTTCTCGTGTTGCAAACATGTATGAATCATAGTGGTGAAGATCGAAGTGACTTGATGGTGCAAAGGAATTGTAAAATCTCAAAATAAGTAATTAATTTCAATTCATTTTGGCTATGAAAGGTCATTTGCTGTTGATTGTGGAAGAGAGGTGGAAAAAAAGGAAAAATTATTGATGATGTTAAGCAAGAGAAAGAGAGAGCCCCTTGGTTGAGAGAGAGATGGTGGTTGTATTTTTGCTCTAATAAAAGATGGTCTTCTTCATTCTGGGTGCAACTTACTTATTGCATACAAGAATATTCTTCGACCTTGACATTTTCATCTCAATGTAATACTTCCATAAAGTTCGAGAGCCTATCCAATGAACGTATCGAAAGCAAATCCACATATTGGAGATCATATACAATAAATATGTAAAGATTATTTTACCTCTAATGGAGTATCAAATAGTTCATAGGACCACTTATGCTATCTATCTTACGGATGAAAGGATCTTCAAATCTAACAGAGCTAGAACGGTCCCTTCTGAAAAATACTTGAATAAAATTTTAATTTCCATATATCTCCACATTATTTTTTGGAGGTCCATATTAGTATAATTAAATTCATGTGCATATATAAATATACCTTGTAGAAGTCGAAATAAAATATTTGGTGGGCGGTGGGCCCCCAAGTTTTATCCGGGCCAAAGATGAACATAGGCTGAATTGATTTGTATAATTTGGTTTGGATATCTGACTATTTTGTGTCTATTAATATATGAAAGAGTTGGGATTTGGGGGCGGTCCACCCAAGTTTAAAATCCTTTTAAAGATCAAGTAAAAGAAACTAAGATAACCAATATAACCTAACTAATTCACTATTAGAGATAAATTGAACCCTCTACAGTCAGATGCTTCAATTGGAAGGACTACAGTGATTCGAACTTCTCTTGATGTGAGAAGTTCTAAATAATTGAACTGTATGCAATTTTTTTTGAAAATTTGAAGTCCTGCTGAACATTGGGACTTTGAGCAGAGAAATTAAAAAACAAAAAACTACAGCAAACACTTTCGTTTTTATCATAAGCTTTCTTAATTGCATGAGGTTTGTAGCCCTTTCATTGGACTTCCAAAACTTGTATACCTACCCTAGACACTGTGTCATTCCATATTGTTTCTGGTTGTTTGCGCTTCATGTTTTGTTTGTCTAATTCATTTTATTCCAATCTAGAGTACGACATCACATGATTGTTTACTTGACTCCAATTTGGTCTTTTTCTGAGATTTTAACTATTTTGAGGAATATTTGAAGTAATTAATTTATTAATGAAAAATATATATATGTAATTAATTTTCTTCAAGCTGATTTTTTACTTTCTTGTTTCGTAATATAATAGTTTCTAATCTTTTGATCTCTTTATCTGATTTTGAGGTGTGGTCCCTCCTTTCTCTTGTGCTTTTTCTTGTGAACTCTCTTACTTATTATATAAAGGCCCTTTTGGTAACTCCCCTACCAAAGTACCAAGTGCTAAAAACTGGAAACTTTCAGTGGTTATCTATCTAGTGTTTTGATAATGGACTGTGAGTTGTCTTTAAGAAAAATGTTTTCCATTTAGAAAGTGATATAAATTTTCAAGGTCATAATCCACACTTAACAAGTTTTTTGATAGGTATTTTTTAAGTGAATTTGGATTTGCATGTTGATCCTTAACTTTGATTTCATCAAATTAAAAAATTTCATCCTAGATTCCTAGTATAACTTAGCCCTGAAGTTTTTGTTACTTATCAAACAGCAGCTAAAGTAAATTAGAACACTTGCTATTTGGTATGAACAAGAGAATTGACAATTATTTTTTCAGTAGAGAATAAGGAATGTATGAAGTGATCTTTCTTCCAATTGTATATGATTGATATGTTTATTGTTGTTATTGATATCGTTGTTATGATTTTTATGTTATTGTCAGTGTCAATTCCATTCTTGCTAGATTTTACATATTTTGAATGAATTGATTTTAGTTTCTAGAAAGATGAGAACCTTCAAATGGTACTCTTACTGTACGATTGTATCTTTTGCATGAAAAACTACCTTGATTGGGTGATTGTAGCCATTCATTTATTTATTTATTATAATTTATGTTGTAGTTGCTTTGTTTTTTAGCTTCTACTAACTTTTTGTGTTTTGGCATCTTTTCAGTTGTGTGATATATATATATTTTTCGTTATTAAAAAAAAAAACCCTTCAACAGGTAAATGGTGGAAGGTACACGACATCTTCTCGTTTGGCACTGTGCTTTTGGAGCTCATATCCAAAAGACCCTCTGAGATCAAGAAACCTGTACACTGTTGGGCTGAAGCCCAATACAATTTGAACAAGCAGAAGAAATCATTATTTGGCTGCTTTGCCCTCTCAAAGAAGTTCTCTCTCGTGCACAAAAGCTTTGAAGAAGATTTGGGGTTTAGTCAACACGATGGATATAAAATTACTGATCTGGCAATGCGCAGTGTGGAAGGCAATGGCGTACGTCCATCAATGAAGGAAGTTGTTCAAACCTTGGCGAGGTTACATGCTGTTTGTCGTCACGGTCACCGGGTTTATTAATATGATGCTCTGTAGGTGAATAATGAAGGTGTTCTCTATTGCTAGAAAATTCAGTTACCTTGTTACAGTAATATACTGTTCTCCAAGCTCTAATGTCTTGATACTGGAAAACTCTTTTCATTTCAACAAGCTTTATGTTATATTTACCTACTTGAATCTAATTTTTCTTTCCCTATATGAGTGACTGATATTTATGTACTGTTTTCCTTCTAAATTATTCATTAAAAGTATAGTAGTTGTCCACTTTATTTATTTATAGGTTTTTAAAAAACTGAAAACCAGATAAGTTTGTGTATAGTATTCTGATTTTCGGTTCTTTAAAAATTAATAAGCCGAAAAAAAAGTCCTACCAAAATAGTACAGAAAATTTGATTACAGATTTTGATTTGATTTCTTATTTACAGATTTTGTTATTATTATTTTTATGGTACTTAGAAGACAACAAAAGAATAAACTAGTAATAAACTTAATTTTATTTAAGAGTAAATGATAGGGAGACCAAAATAATTTTATCTAACATGTTTTTGCTCAACTTATCTACTTAAATAATTTTTAAAAAATAATAACAAATGACAAGTATAGCCAATCATGTCAGATTCGGTGTTAATTCGGGCACTATTGTAACTTTTATAAGCATGGTGTGATTATGAATTTTGAATTGAAACAGAGGTTTAATGATATTTATTTTATTTTTGAATTGGTGTTTAGAGTTCTTTGGTCTAATGGGTTTATTGGGTAATAATCAAACAGGGCAATTAAACGGTTCAATTGCTTCCAGTGGGAAAGATCCTTGCAAAACGTGGAGCAATCCATATATGAAATTTTTTTCTCTCAAATTCCAGATTTTGATCAGATATGGTGGCTTTCAATTGTTTCTACAGCCATGTCCTATACGACTCCGCATTGTGCTTTTAGTTTAAAATATTAATTTTGGTGATGGGACTGAAGAGAGGCATGAAAACTGATTTGGGGTTTCTTCATCATGGGAGAAGAGTGAGAAATTATGGAAGACCAATAGCCCACAACTCGCACAAATCATTGGCCAAAGGCGGATTTAGGAGTGGGCTTGAGTCCACCCAAAATAATAATAATAATAGTAATAATAATAATTTACTAGAGTACTAATCCACCCCAGAATAGATTAGTCCACCCCATTATGTATTTCTGGATCCGCCCTTGTCAGTGGCCTATCAAATCCTGATCAAGGTTTAGGTTTAGGGGGAAGTTGCTGGCGTTGAGACGATCATCCTCTTCGGTCAGGTTTTCCGTTCACCTCTGTTCACGTTCTGCTATACACTGGTGAGATCATATAGATTATGCGAGGGTTTTGATTTTCCTTGAAGAATATCTTATTTGTAAGCCTCTACTTGAGCTAGAGAAGTATACTTGTAACCCCATTATTTTTCGTAGTAGAATTATTTTTCGAAGTTGGCCCATGATTTTTTTCACCCTTCAATTTGAGGGTGTTTCCACCTATATTCTAGTTTTTATTGTGTGATTGATTTTATTTATTGCTCTATATTTGTTAATCTTAGAAGTTTGCACAGTGAGGGAAAAGTTTCAGTTTTGGGTATTTCATATTTGGCTTTGGTATTGTGTTTGTTACATTGCCCTATTATATATATTTTTCCCCAACAAAGTGGTATCAGAGCCTTAGTCGGCAATTTTGGTTTGTGCAGACATGGAGGTTAACATGAGTAGAATGATCAGTTTGAGTGGTAGCAATTGGCAATTGTGGAAAGGAAAAATGGATAATCTTCTTTATTGTAAAAAGTATCATGCTCCTATTTCAAGGTGAATCGGCAAAGCCGGCGGCTACAAATAAATTAGATTGAGATTTGTTGAACAGACAGGTTGTTAGGTATATACGCCAATGGGTGAATGATAGTGTTTACCATCACATATCTAATGAGACCTTTACACACTCTTTTTGGGAGAAATTAGAGAAGCTATATGAGATAAAAACTGCTGCAAATAAAGCTTTCCTAATGAGGAAACTTATGAACCTAAAGTACAAAGAGTGGACTCAAATTGCAGAGCACTTGAATGATATGCAGAACATTGTTAATCAGATTTATTCTATGAAGTTTCCTCTTTATGATGAGTTGTAGGCCTTATTACTTCTCAGTTCTTTACTAGACAGTTGGGAAGACACTTGTAGTATCTCTAAGGTACTCAGCCCCAGATGGGATTGTTTCAATAAATGTGGTTAATTGTAACCTATTAAATGAAGAAATAATAAGGAAAGCCTTAAGGTTCTTCATCCACACAATCAGTGGCTCTTGTTACAGAGTAGCGGGGTAGAAGTTAGAGTAAAGGTCACAATAATTGTGGCAAGTCAATGAGCAAGTCCAAGAACAAGAAGGACATTCAGTGCTATCATTATAAGAAGATGGGCCACATGAAAAAGGATTGCAGAAAATTAAAGAAGGAATAATAAAAAGAAAAATGAGACAAAAAGGTAGAAAATCAAGAAACTATTGTAGCCACTTCTGAAGACATACTTGTTTTTTGTGATGAAGATGCTATCAATTTCACTTGTCAAGATGCTAGTTGGGTAGGTGACAGTGGTGCCTTGTGATACCCCTGGATTTCCAGATGTGGGTTGGCCAGGCCCACGCCCGACTACCCGAGGATATCAAACCAATTAGCAATAAATGAACACAGAATACAATTAGGATAAACAGGAATAAATAAAATTTGTTGAAAAGAAACTAGAACGATAATCCCAAAAACTGAAACCTCAGAATAAATTTTATAAATAAAGAATTATTCTGATACATCCGACTTCTCCATTTTTAATACAACTCGGGAATCCATCTGAAGGACCCCTAATAAACTCCAACACTGGAAAAATAACAACTGAAGAACCTAATGCTAAACCATGAAGAAAACTCCTTCATCGTCAGAAGAATGAGTAACCGTCTCTGCTCAGCACGAACAAGCTCTACAACCTGGAACCGTCCATTACTTGAAAAATAATAGTGGGTCAGGCCCACGAACAAGTTCTAATTTAACTACAATCTATACAAAGAACCGATACGCAGATACACCCTAGATACCTCACAATACCTATTTAGTCCATAAGTATATATATATCCACACCAAGGACATTCACTGGACTACAATAGGGGTCTCAACCTGAATAGAAGTCATCATGCGAAAACGCACCCAAAGGTGGGCATGAGTACCTAGACCTAACAGGGTATACCTCAACCTACTATAGCCAGTTACGCATCCACTGCATATATGCACCCTAACCAACAATCCTGAGATTCAAACTCATATCGCAGTACCATAATTTATAGATATAAATTCCCATCCAAACCAATGTAGTGCCGCTCAACTGTTTATTGCCATGATACGACATAAAATTAGGATTTAAATGTTTTAATTAAATTCCTATCCTTCCTATTAACAAAAAATATAAACAACCATCCAATATGTCGTTCAACTGTTTTAGTTGACAGGATATGAAACCATGTAGGATTTAACTGTTTTAGTTAATCCATTCCGTATGTATGAATAGGTTGGAATTAGCGTTTTGATCTAATTCGTCCCTCCGTATGTCATTGTCCCATACCGGTACATACTATGCATATGATCCGTAAAAGATGCAACATTTTAAGCAGTACATCAAACAGTATCCACCTAATCCAAGTAGTTAATAAATGCAGAATTTAAACCATTCATCAACATCCAATCCAGAATCCATTCACATAACTTAACGAGACTAAGTTTAATAGTTCATCAAATTAAAGTCCAGCATCCATCCAGTTAATTGACAGAGAATACATAATTAATTCTTCAATTAATTCCAGGCCATCACCCAATTAGATTGACAAGACCCAAGTATCAATTTAACAATTTAGGTAACCCAAGTATTTGCATAATAGTGCTTAATATTACTGCAGTTACAATCCCAGCTTAAATCCATGTATTGTAAAACAGAATTAGCATTTCAGCAGTTAACATCCAAGGTATGCCTAGAGTAAACTTGATAACTAACTGACCCTAGCATGTAACCAAAAATAAGATTTATAACCATACTAGATCCCACCGGATTGCTAAAATTAAACTTAGGCAATTTAAGTTTTCTTCCATCCATTAGCCGTATAAAAAAAAAAATGCATAAATTTTATACGGTTTGTTCCATTAATTTAGGGGTAAACCTTGATCAATTCAAGTCCTATTAACACCTAAAATTAACTTCTTAATCATTTTGAGTAGTCCTAGAATTTTTCCAGAATAGTTCAGTTCCATCTGTCCGTTAACAGTATGTTAAATTGTATAGTTTTATACTGTCCATCCTTTAGTGTAGAGACATAAATTATGCAACAAGAGGCTTTAACCACACTTGAAATTAGTATTAAGAAGCCCCGTATGCTCACCACACAGTCCAGACCAAATTAAAAACATCCAAACATCACCAAAAACTTCATAAAATCAATCTTCGTGAGAGACTGCTCCAAAACCAAAAAGGAGAAGGCTCCAAAACAAAAAGAGAAGGCTCTAAAATAGAAGGAGAATGCTCTAAAGCAAAAAGGAGAAGGCTCCAAAAAAAAGAGGATAAGGCTCTAAAATAGAAGAGAAGGTTCTAAACGAAGGAGAAGGCTCCAAAAAACAAAAGAGAAGGCTCCAATAATTCCTGGAGCTGTCTCCAAGAGGGGAGAGCCAGCTCTACCTTTCCTAAAGCCGGCTCTATAATGCGGGGGGGGGGGGGGGGGGGGGAGCCGGCTTTTGAGAGCCGTCCACGATTCTGTGAATTCTACGACCTTCGTCCACTACTCCGGCTGCTTCTAACCCTCTCTGTTTATTTTAAACCTGAACCTAGATGTCCCAAGTATGTCCAGTATCATCCAGATTCATTATTCATACCGAATTGCATTACTAAAATCCTTTAACTCTTACCGATTATAACATGCTTATGAAAACTACTATTGTAACCAAACCTTTAAAAATCATCACAGAACTAATTCAAGACAAAGATATGATTAATTTGACATATAAAAACATGCGCAATTCAGTTATTGATCTATTAAAATCCTAGAGCATACCTAGGTGCACAGAACACAAGCCAAAGGGAAGGAGGAAGAAAAGAACTTGCCTATGATTTCAGTTAAAATCCCGGCGTCGTGTCCACTGTTCTGGCAACACCGAGTTACTGTCTAGCCT